AACCGAGTTATGTCATACACTCACGCGTTACCTTAATCTTCGTAACGACCGTAATCGCTCGCACACCTCACGTAGAAGCATTTCACGTAAGCGATCTGTCTCTAGACCACGAGAGACGGATAATCCCGACTGGTGCTGGTATCACAACCAGTATGGAAAGTCTTCCAGAAATTGAGGAAAACCCTGCAATTTTCCCAACACGAAACCGACTGACTCGAAAAACAACTCGGGAAACTTCCAAGCCGGCACGCGTTAACGGCAACCGTAGCCGGCGAACATAGCCGTCTGTTATACGTCACAGATGTGACAACGAGAGTTCGCTACCTCGTCGACACTGGCGCAGAAGTTAGCGTTCTCCCAGCAAATCCTAACGACCGGCTTCACGAATCGACTCTAAACTTACAGGCGGCAAACGGAAAACCGATCGCTACGTATAGCAAAAGGTACGTTTACCTTAACGTGGGTTTACGCAAACCCATTCACTGGATCTTCGTTGTTGCTGATGCTTCTATGCCAATCATTGGTATGGATCTGATCATCGACACGCGCAAACGGAGGCTAGTAGACGGAAACACTAATTTATCCGTTTGCGTAACTTCCTTCTCTGGTTGCAGATTATCCCCAGTCACAATTAAGCATATGATAGACCCACTTTATCAGCCACTTCTCGATAAGTATCCTGGGATACAACAAACGCAACCGAGATTACCGTGTGTAACCAGCAATGTTACACATCACATCACGACTACAGGACCACCTGTATTCTCTAAAGCACGACGATTAGCTCCCGAAAAGCTAAGGTTAGCGAAAAACGAGTTCGACCGTATGATAGACTTAGGAATCATACGACCGTCAAATAGCCCATGGGCATCTCCGTTGCACATGGTCCCTACAAAGCACAGCAATGATTGGCGTCCAACTGGTGACTATCGGCGATTGAATGCGAAAACCATTCCCGATCGTCACCCGTTGCCTCACATTCACAATTTGACAGCCACCTCGAAAGATTCAACTGTCTCTTCGAAAATCGACTTGGTTAAAGCTTATAACCAAATTCCCATGACCACTGACGACATTCCGAAAACGGCCATCATAATTCCTTTCGGACTTTACGGATTTTTGCGAATGCCCTTCGGTTTAAGAAACGCTGAACAAACCTTCCAAAGGTTTATAGACGACGTTTGTCGAGGTCTCAATTTCGTACATGTATATGTTGACGACTGTCTAATGATAAGTCTGGATAGAAAATTGCATCTCAAGCATTTGGATCTTGTTTTCGATCGACTACAAAAACATGGCATTACTGTAAACATTCAGAAATGCCAAATCGAAACCGACTCATTAGACTTCCTAGGACACACTATTGATGCTCAAGGCATTCGACCCCTTAGGACCAAAGTGTTGGCAATTCTGGATAACACAGAACCGACTACCGTCAAGCAACTACGAACGTTTAACGGCCTCGTAAGTTTCTATAGACGTTTCATACCGAAATGCGCGTTACTTATGAAACCTCTGACCGACCAACTTCGTGGAAATGCGAAATCCATCAATTTGGACGGCACCGCGCGAAAAGCATTCTTCATAGTTAAGGAACTTATCGCTAAAGCAACAATGCTCGCACATCAGGACACCGAAGCACCCCTTAGTATCGCAGTAGACGCATCCGACTCAGCAATCGGAGGAGTCTTACAACAATGGGTTAACAACTCCTGGCAACTTTTGGCATTTTCCTCTAAACGGTTGCTAGACAACGAATCGAGGTACAGCACATTCGGTAGGGAACTCCTAGCTATGTATTGTGCTGTACGACATTCTCAACACTACATCGAAGGTCGTGAATTCACTCTTTTCACTGACCATAAACTGCTCACCTTCTCTCTAAGCTCTCCTTCAGACAAGTACTCTCCCCGTGAGTCTCGACAACTGGACTACATATCGCAGTTTACTTCAGATATTCAACATACATCTAGAGCAAACAATGTAGTTGCAGACGCCTTATCTCGCATAACTTCCTTGAACAGTTTCCAAGGAACCGACCTTATTAAACTCACTCAGCTTCAAAAAGAAGACACTGATCTTCAGCACGAGTTATCGCCCACAACCCTCAAGTTACGTATCGAACAGATGGGAACAGGTAAGGAAACCTTACTGTGTGACACATCTACAGGTAGGGATCGCCCAATCGTGCGGAAACGTTATCGACGCAATATCTTCAACACATTGCACAAGCTTTCTCATCCAGGTGTTCGTGCAGCCATCAAACTTATAGCAGAAAGGTTTTGCTGGCCTGGCATAAATAAAGATGTGAGGGAATGGGCACGCTCCCGTGTAAGATGCCAAAAATCTAAGGTTATCAGACACAATAAATGTCCCTTAGGCTCATTTAAAACTCCCGATGCTCGTTTTGACCATGTTCATCTGGATTTGGTAGGACGGCTACCAGATTCCAATGGATACGTTTATCTTTTAACTTGCGTAGATCATTTCACTCGATGGCCAGAAGCAGTACTTATCAAAGACATTACTGCTGAGACGGTGGCCCGCGCCTTCGTCGAACGATGGGTAGCAAACTTCGGCTGCCCTTCAACCATCACTACAGACCGCGGACGTCAGTTTGAATCTGATCTTTTTCGTCGTCTGACCACACTTTTAGGAATCACTCGCTTCCGAACGACTGCCTACCACCCACAACCAAACGGGTTGGTAGAACGCTTTCACCGACAACTAAAAGCTTCACTATCAGCTGCAAACATTTCCCAGTGGACCGACGCTCTTCCACTCGTCTTACTAGGTATGAACAATGCAGTGAAAGCTGACATTGGATACACTGCGGCTCAACTGGTTTATGGTACGACACTTCGACTTCCAGGAGAATTCGTGGATCCTTCGTCCTCTTCAATGAACATGGATCTAACCTCCTACACGAACAGGCTTACAAAAGCAATGCGTTCAGTTAAACCTGCTTCCACTCGACCTCAATCAACTGATGTTTTCGTTCAACCTGACTTACGATATAGTACACACGTTTTCGTTCGTCGAGACTCGCATCGACGACCATTCAAATCAGCATACGAAGGACCCTTCAAAGTTCTTCAACGTGAATCTAAGTACTATATAGTCGATAAGAACGGAACAAACGATAGCATCAGCATCGATCGCTTAAAAGCAGCGTATTTAGAAGGAAATCCTATCTAGGTGGATTTTCCTTCGGTACAATCGAACGACACGACTCCGACACTTATAATACCTCATCCGACAACCAACACACACGATGATACTTCGACAGTATCTGAAAATAAACTTAAAACGACGCGTTCTGGAAGAAGGGTGAGATTTCCAGAACATTTAAACGACTACTGCACGTAAGGCACTACTCGACATTTAACATTATCTCGATCTTTCTTTTTACGATATATAATATATTTTAAAAAAACAATTTTAATATGCTTATATATTTTTATTTCAAAAAAAAAACAAAAAACATTATAAATTTTTTATAACGATATTACGCGTAAACTAGTTTATATCTCAAATTTTTTTCGCCGACATTGTGTTTTTACGCACATACGAGTGTCTGTCGACATGCACATGCATTTTCTTTTTTCTTTTCCAGGACGGCTGGAAAAGAACGATGACGTTTATGAGGAGCTGAAATTTTCATTGTACATTTTCTTTTTTTACGATGTTGTACCTCGGTCCCATATAGTAAGGAAAGACGAGCAGACGCTGCTAATCCTAGCAAGCTATCAGAAGAGTGTTTACCAACGACAAAACTCGCTGGGTTTAAAATTCTGGCTGGCCACATCTTAGGGTCATCACTAACCCACTAGAGGGGGGAGTGATCTGTAGCGGTAAATAAATCCCTAAAATAAATAGCTCTGCAAGTTTTCGACATTGGATGCTGACCACATGTTTTAGTGAACTCATCTAGCTGAAGGCGCTCGGTCAGGCATCCGTACCAGATCACGTGTGGTAACGCCGTGCTCAACATCAACCGCAATCGCTAGCCAGATTAGATCAGAGAATTCCGATATTTTGGTTATCGCCAAATACACTCTTCCGATCTCCTCGACTCTGTCTTTTGATTTCTCTGGGTGGTTACGGATAATATTAGAAGGTGTTACTGGTAGAAGCGTTGTCAAACACTGAATACCTGTGTCATCTTCAGTGTTACCTCTAAGGTTAGTGTTGTGACTGAAATTAAGTAGGTGTTTAAGAGGATGTCTGGAAGCGTTTAAGTTGCTGTAAGTCATTAGAGAGTCACGTTTAAGATGACTATATTGTGATGGATAGAGATCCAGTGATTTAAGACGCTCCTCATAGGGTCTGAATTTGAGTCCCAGAGTTGACTTATGCCTCGTCGTTGGATACGTTCCAACTTATTCTTCTGGGGTGAGGAGGGAAATAATTTTTTCACACTGTAGATAGGATCGAGTAAAATTGTTTAAGATCAGGTGTAAAGTTGTGCTGTCAAAGTGGCTAAAAGCATCAACGTTACCGCTGCTTGCAAACCGAGCAGAAGAAAAAAATGTAGTCTACCTCATATTAGGCGGTTTAGATATCACATTTGTCTCGTTTATTCTCAATCTTGACCTAAAAATTGACAAAATGTTCTATCACAATGATGACTGTGCCAGTATAGCGGTAAATAAACCCCCAAATCAATAGCTCTGTAAATCATCAACATTTGATGCTAACCGCATCAGTTTTAGTGGACTCACTTATCTGGAGGTGCTCGGCCCCACATTCGCACCAGATCACTATCGGGTACACCATGCTTCCCACCTCCTACGACCGCTAACCGGCTTAGATTGATCACTTCTCGATATAGCTTTTTTAAAAGTGAGTAACACTTGAGTCAGGATGTAAAACGAGGTCGAAAAATCCTTTTATTTAAAACGTATGTCTAAATATTCTAAAAATTCAAATCCATATCACTGACGTTTACTTGAAAATATTTTATATTTTATTGGCGTTTCTTGTCACAAAATGAGGAATTTTTGTATAACACGCTACTATTGAGGGATCTTTATCTTCTCAAGGCCTTTCCGCGTACTCGATTATAGAGTCGTGAGTCCATCACGTTTATACAGTGTTTATTGCGAATTAGGCATGCTGTGCATTTCGAATCATCTTGGTTGTACATAGTATCGATTATAATCGTAAAAATAGCCTATATGTTCAGTTTTCAGTGAAAATATATGAAATCAGGGGAACCCAACAGGTAGTAAACCTATCGCCTTTGTTGTAAGACGCAATCAAAAGCATTGTATATAAATAACTTGGAGTTGTGGCTCTTCAGATTATGAGCCAAACTCAGAATATTTTCCTAAAAGTCAATAAATAGTGAGTAGTTTTGTTTCCCGCGATCTCGATAATACCGAATCATTTTGCATACAGACTACATTTTATGTATGGAAGTCTTCAAATGTTCATAGTTGTTTTCGTGGTTTTTACAGTGGCTACAAGTTTGGTGTCCAAACAAGCGAACTAAATAAGTGATAACGGAAAAATAAACCGTATGATATGGTGAACTTCGTCGGCGAGACTCTAATATATGGACAAGCCAATCAGAAGCGTTTTAGAGATTTCAGGGCTACGTTACCAAATTCAGTGCTTAATGCTAACGTACGATCTGTTCACAGGGAATTTTGTACAAAACGTGATATTCGAGTGGCTATAACAAATAAAACGGCAAGACTATAATTTGTGGACGAATCAATCAGGTATAAGATAATAGATCTCGGATTTTAACGTGAAAGCCATTCATCTATTTGGCTAAAATGTCTGGCAATATAGCTGGTGTCAGTTCGTGATGAAAACCCCATATATAATTCCTAACTAAGGCAAATTACGACAATTATTGCGAACTGGATAATAAAAGCACCAGTAACACTGACAGCAGCCAGGTACTACAATATATATGGATGTTTGGAGAGCGTACAGGTTCCTACATAGGCTTGGTCATGTGCATCGTGTCGTTGTCCACATGTAGCATTTTGTGCACTCAACAACCAGAGTGCACATAAACAATATTGAAGCTATGTGGTCGGGACTGAAAGAGTATTTGACACTTTATCATGACTCCAGAGGCCGACTATTATGTAGCCGTATGGATGATTTCCTCTACTGAATGCATTACGATTTTAGAACCTCTGAACCTCATTCTAACCTTGACAAGTTTTTGAACCACGTATAAATAGTGTATCCACTTTATTTCCTTGGTTTTGTATAACATATTTTTACTTTATACTGACTGTTTGCTGATTGTCTAATATTTCCCAAGGTCACTTGAGATTCGTTCAAAGGTCGTCCATAAATCAGATTCTCGCCTATTCTCCAATACATTTTCCGTTACTAGAGTTACGTCCTTGACTACTCATTCTCGTTTTTACTTTAATTTTCTATAAATGGGCTCTCATAAACTGTTTTCGTTATCTCTCCTTAAGTTTCGACGGGAACTATTAGTCCATGCTTCTATTCCTCTGTTTCATTTGTTTCCTTTCAAGTGCACTCGTTAGTCTTCCGCTGCAGTTAATAACAATACTTCAACTTTTGTCGTGATCCAGTTGTTTCCTTGGCAGCGACATTCCATTCATTCCTGCTTCAGTTCGGGCGTTCACACTAGCCGAATTCTTTGTGTTGAACATATATATTTTATGTCTCCTTGTGCTAGTATTTGTGTGTCTAAGTAATGAATTTGGATTATACTCGTTAGTTTCCCACTGCAGTTAATAACAATACTTCAGCTTTCGTTATCATCCTGTTATTTCCTCGTTCTTACAATCAGGGTCAATGAACAATTTTTCAAGACTTTTTGTTGATTGAGATTATATCATCGTTAATTTGTTGTTGAGAATGCTTTATTTTTCAGACGTCACAATTTTAGAACTTTAATCAGCCCTCCTATAATTGGTTAATTTTTTCTTTAACTTAGCTTCTTATGACTCTCAGTGAGCCTTCATTCAAAACCAAAGATGAAGCTAAAGACTTCTTGAAGTGTTTGTTCGATCAAGAACTTACTGTCCACGTATCAGATGGTCGAAGATATATTGGAAGCTTTTGGTGCACAGATAATGTTGGAAATATTGTAATGGGTTCGTGTACAGAGTATCCGGCACCTGATTCAGCATCCGACAATTCGCTAAGAGATTTAACCACTGTTGTTATCCCTGGACAGCACATAATAAAAATTGAATGTGATAGTCGTTTGCTAGCAAATTGATTTTTTTAATATAAAACTTTTAACTCATTTACTCCCCTTCTGTTCTGCTGTCCTGTTAATTTTTATTTTTCATATAGTGATTTTTATTTTAGTTCTCTTATTAGTGTTTAAAGGTGAATGATACAAAGTTAGTAAATAAAGCATCATTAGATACGTTGAATCTATGTACTTACCAAAGAGGGAAAGAAGGATGATTAAAAAAATAATTTGTGTTGTTTCTGCATATTGGTAGGTTGTGTTTCCATTATGATAATTAAAATAAATACTTTTAAGGTTTATTTCCATTTCCTTGGTATTTATAAACAAATGGTTATTGAGTGATAAGTCTGTATCGGTAAGTACTCAACATCGCTGGTTAATAATAAACAAAAATTACTTAATCAGCTAAATGCACCGATATTTATAACTTGGTTTCAATGTGCAGTTACAGCATTTCTATGTTATTTAACATCGTATCTAGCTATGCTGTTACCTAGTCATGTGAAGTTTCCACAGTTGAACTTTTCTTTTAAAACGTCAATTGAAGTAGGCGACACGTTACTAATAAATTATTTTTCAGATCTTGCCACTGTCTATAATATTTGTTTCAATGGTCTGCTTTAACAACCTATGCCTGAAGTACTTGAGTGTTTCGTTTTATTTTTTAGCACGATCACTAACTACAATCTTCAACGTTGTAAGTTATTTGTGTATCACTAACAAATGATTGACACCTTTTTTCATCGACAGTTTAATTTCATTTTTGTTGTTTATTCAGTTCTATGTTTAAGTCACAGTACAGCTACTTGTCAACTATGAAGGCAAATATTTGTCTTTATCAAACTTGGAAATTGAGTAGTTTCATAGCGCTAAATGTAAGCGGCAATTAATTCAGAACTGTGTTCATTACGTCATTAAAATGCTTCTGATCGAGGTTTAATCAACCGAGTCTACTTACTGAACTGTTGTAGTATTTGTATACTCTTATGATAATCTAGGTTCGAAAATTCTGTTTCTTTCTCCAAATATTATTGTGATCAAATAATCCTCGTCCATTCTAATAAACTGTTGTGAGAGCTTTGAAACGTGGTTAACACATTTAGGAGCATGATAGTGTAGTATTCAGTGTTTTTTAAACTTAAGTTTTCCAGTTACTTTTTGTCAAGATTGTTCTCTAGCACTCAGCTTTTTACTAAATTGTATCATATGTTACGTTCCTAGTTTCCGTTTTAGCATTAGAGTTTTCGGGATCTACAAATTCTTGGAATATGATGATTTCTTAAGTAATTAATTGTCACTCCAGTATTGGTGCTAAATAGCAGCATTACACAAACTGTTCGAAAGTTTCCGAAGTCATTACTAATTCTTTCCATGTTACTAAGGAATGTGTCTGTCAATTGGTTTCCAATGTGTTGAAATTCTAATAATCAATAAGAGTAACCGTTTTGTAAGAAAATGTAAATAGTAAATGATTGTGATAAACCGACAAATGTTACAATAATGATTTGTGTCGTGTAAATAATAGCGACACACAGTCTCTTGGGTTCCATAGGATATGTTTAAATAAGTAAGGTTTGTGACATTTTTCTTTGCTATTGATCTATTTCTTCAAACTACAAAAGCATACTACAGTTCATGTTTCTTATCTTTGGTAGTTTTAAGCACTTTCGTCTAATCCTTAGGGAGTTCTAAATAACACTTATTCAGGCTTTGTCTAAAGTATTCCTCCATAATAAGTACTAATGATCATGGCTTTCATTATGCACAGGATAGGTTTTTATAAAGCAGTGGAAGCACTATTTAAGTAGTTTAACATGTAAATGTTACCATTAATAATAACAGCCTCAATGTAGCGAAGCCGAACAGGAAAAAATAAACATTTACGCAGTCTCTTTCGATTGTCAATTTAACGGGCTAATATAGATAACTGTTCATCCTATCTGTGGGTCCATGACCACGTTTCTGCTTATCATTAGTTTAGATAATGTTTGAATAAAGTAATCGACTTACAAATAATAGAAATCGCCTTAGTGGTGGGTGTATACCAATCACACCTACTTTAAATAGTCGTACCACGAGAGACGATTCGTTGAAAACATCCTACTGCTTTGAGGTATGCATATCAATAAAGTTTTTCATTTATTGTTATTATAAAGTCGTGAGCTATTATACATTGCTGTTTATAACCATGTCGTATACGAAATGTCTCATCTGTATCCATGCTGAATAACTCTATATTTTCTGTTTTGATTATGTTTATACTGAGTCTAACTCAGATATGTAAATGTTTCGAGATGATGAGACTAAAACATATGAGAGTGGTTAGTTGGTCAGTCAGCTACAACGTAGGACCAGGCACATATTTGCATCGGTCCAAGTTGCCACACCTCATTAGCACAACAAGATAAACACCGAATTCATAGAAGTAGTTACTTCAATGGTAGTAATATATAAAAGAAGGATTGTGTATAAGGACATAGTGCAGGAAGAAAGAATTAGTTGGTAGAAAGAAAGATATGAAGCAATTTTAGTCTCACAGTTTAAGGGAAGACAGAGAGTGTATACACCTACGCCATTGTGATCGATTCTGAGCCATGTCACTCATTCTCCAACCATTGGTTACGTTAGTCACGCTGACCCCAAACAAGTAGTCTGTATCTACAGTAGATAAGTTGATTAGAAGCTAAGGAGTCTATAACTTGAAATTGGAGTCCTGAATCACATATTATCATGTAAGCTGAATTATCTAGTAGTTAGGACAAATTATTTCCCTCTACATAGCCTGAATCCGAATGGATCCGTTTTTTCAAGTCGTTGCATATTTTACTTACGTACCTCCTGTTTCTTTGCAGGGTTTTTAATTATTTTCCAAGAATTTCCACAGTAATAATCACTATCCTTATCTAAAAATTACCTACAAATTTTCACAAACTTGAGAAAATGAACAAGGAATTATTGTATTTGAACTAACATTTCATTGTGACTGTACATTAATGAAAACTTTATTCACTCTCTACTATCTTAATTTCCGTGATCAGTTATTACTTCTACCGAACATCTTAAAATGAATGTGCTTGTTATTGAATTCACGAATACAAGTTCTAAATTGTATGATTCATTTAAAAATCTATATTATCATTGTTAAGCTATGATAGAAAGCTTACTAAACAGAAATACATCTTTAAATGTGTTTTGCCGATATCGTTACGTTATAAATTACATTTTTCCGTTATCCATTTTTTCGTTGTGGATACTAATTAAATAGGTCTTTAGTTATGGGATATGACATAGTTTTTAATAGACGATGTAATACAAATCCTTCAGTCAAGACGTCCTAATACTTCAGTTAATATTTTCTTGGAACCTTTTCTTTTCAGTTAATGGTAGTTTCCTGTTTCTTCTCTCCGTCTAATAGATATTTACTTATTTACTGCTAAATACGAAAACTTCAACAAAGGCATTGATTTGTTGTGCTGCCATAATTGTTGGATATTGTGCTGGAGTAATTGTTGAGGGTAATTTAGGTAAGTTTTAGTGTTTTTTTTTCGGTCGGTAGATTTGTTATTCTCTAGGTGTGGTATTTTATTTGAATTTATGTCTTGGCCTTGTATCAAACTTCACTGAAATAGTACAAAGTTTATGTAAATTCAAGCTTTAACCAGTCCTGTATGGAGTTATCCAGTATGTTTCAAGCTATAAATGAACTAACTTCATAATTACCTAACATCACTAATTAACTTGGGTTTAAAAACACTTAATGGGTAGGGGAGTCCATATCACAAATAACTGAAAGTTCAATTTGTTGGTAAGCATAAATAAGACTGTTTTAAATCCAGTAAGATCGGAAACTCCAAATGGATTAGCAAAACATCTACTCATTCATTATGAATAGATGTAAAATGCTAGTAGCTAACAAAACTCAGACGATACAGAGATATGTAGTGCCTTTCCTCTTATTTTTGCTCACCTTTAATTTTCTCGTTTTCCTTTTTGGAACTTCTCTAATCCCTTTTTTATTTACCATACGTTACTTGAGTCCAACATCTCAAGTTCCCCAGATTTTCTTTCTCTAAATTAAGCAGTTAATTTTCTTGATCAATATTAGTAATTGGCCTTTCGAGTTATGGTTATTCAATTTACTACAAGTGGTTTATCGGTTCCGGGATTATAAATAAAACTTTAATATTCCGAAAAAATAACCGTCATTTAAATTGTAATAAAGCAACCGGGAAACATATTGAGGCGTACGAGAGGAAAATGTTGTTCTGTGAAGAAATCCCTGCCGAAAAATTCATTCTCAGAGCTGTACAGTTGCAAATATATACTTTTTTCATAAGGATTATTGACGATTTGGTTTTTGACAATAACTGTTATTTATTGAAAATATTAGCAAAGGGATAAGATAAACTAAGCACAATAATTCCATTCTTATTAAGAGGTTTAAGTTGTTATTAACATACATGTAAGTTACAATTATGATAAATTAATATGTATTTGCGATTACACTGCTTTGAGAATGAATTTTCTGGAAAGAAATCTCTCCATTAAACCACTCTTTCCTGGATCCTAATTGACAGTACCTTCAATATCGTTTTACTGGATGATTCTGCAAAAATACAGACGAACTGAAACAAACAGTCATTTTTTTATTGCTGAGATTATTTGTTAACTAACTAGAGCTTCAGTAAGTTTCTGTGTCAACTATCAACTAAGTAATGAAACTGTTAAATTCAGTGAGCAGATGTGGTAATCTGAACATTATTGATTAACGTTTTTAGCATAAATATGAAATAGATGCTTAGTGGACTACTATAATTATTCAACTAACGTGATGTCTGTCAACTTGAATTGATTCACATGTGTATCATATCCTACATTCTTTAATATATTGAATAAGTGATTAAATAAAAATTTCTCTTGATATCGGTACTAAATAATAGAATATACATAAAATAGCTTAGAAATTATAAAAGCCTTTTATTGTATATTTTATTTACGAAAGCTCCTAGCCTGGATAAACGTTCTCTTTTCTTTTTTCGAATCATTTTCAGGTTCTTTAAGTTGGATTGGATTAGTGTTTGGTATTGCATCTAGCATTACTTGTGCATTAAATTCTATCTACACAGCAAAGTGTTTACCAAAAGTGGAAGGGAGTGTATGGAGACTTACATTTTACAATAATCTTAATTCACTTTTTTTATCAATCCCTATTATTGGCTTATTGGAATATCAACCAATTAAGGAACATTTTTTTCATACTAGGTATGTAAATGTTATTATTTTTAATACCGATGTTCAAATCACTCATAAAACTGTTCGGATTTCGTTTCTGAATGAAAAGTTGCTTTAAATGATACAGTTTTAAGTGATTTCACTAGTGTATTTCAGTCATAAAATTCTGATAACTTGAAAATCTCAGCCATCTTACACGACACAGACTAACGTTTTATAATTTTCGAAGTCAATACTACTACTACTTTCTATTGTTAAATCTTAACGACCATTTAATAAATATTGTATTTGTTTTGTCGTAACATTAACCAAAGAAGCTGTTGCTTAATCTAGAAAAGCCTCCCTCTTTTATAGGTTTTATATTACAATCTACGTCCAATGCCAAATAATTCTTCAGTTAATTCACGAAAGACTTACTTTCATCTTTTCGTCGGGATGTTATATTGTACATTCATCCATCTAAAAAAAGAATCACGTCAATTTAGAACAACCTTTATTAAAAAAAATGAAAAATTAATAAACTAATGTTTTGTAATCTCAATAGTTGAGAGCATGAGTTGATTGAAGCTAGATCACCATGCGCATTTACGATCCCACCTCGCGAGATTCGAACCCAGGACATATCGGTCTCGCGCACGAACGCCTAACCTTTAGACCACTGAGCCATTTTGTTTTTGTTATAAGTAGAAAGCAAACAGCTATTGCCTAAAAATTCATTAGTAACCTGTTAGTTCTCTTAGACTAACTTACGACAATCACATTTCACTACACTCTGTGAGCTTGTTTATTTTCTAATGGAATTCGATCATTTATTAATGTATTTCCGACATACAGTTCAGAGATAACTTATTAGCGCTTGAAATCACAATTTAATAGGAAACCTAAAGTAGGGTTACAGTAGTGGTTTTTGCGACATACTGTTATCATTCGAAGAACTATTAAAAACCAATAAGTTCTGGATAACTCAAGTGGTTGGGACTAGTCACCAGAAAGCCCTGCTTGACCTAAGTTTCGTGCTAGTTGATACACATCAGAACAATGTACCTGGAATTTTAAGGGAACTAATGCTTCCTGTGGGGTTAGAACATGGATTACTTAGTTTCTTAGTCTGAGATGTTATCACTGATTTATTCGGACAGTGGCTGATTTATAGGACTGAGATATTTACAGTCAGTCGATTACTGAATAGTTATCATTGTCATGTTTGCCTAGTCATTTAGTAACGACCAAATTCTGTCTGTAGGCAGCAGGTTGCAACTCATCACAAATCCACTCATTTTATTTTCCTTTGTAAGCCTAATGCATAAAAATTTGCTTATTACATATATATGGATTCCTAAAAAGCGTAGATAGCTATTAAATTTGCATAAATTTTGATAATAATTGTTAATGTGAGGAGAGGAGTTGAAGTGGGAGGAAGTAAACAAGTATCTAATCATTTGATGACAATTTCACCATATTGTAAATCATGAAAAAGTAGTAACACTACTTTATTATAGATTTATCAGAGTTATGAAGAGGAATAAAATCAATCCGAAAAATATAACCATGTAAATAGGCATGGATATAATCTGTTTTACAAACTGACAAGTAACATTTCTTATAATACATTATAATAATGTCTAATAGTTAAAATATACTTTGGATCTTGATTGATGTTGATTTTGCCAATTAAACTCGAATTTACTGTGAATAATTAAATGTTAGCAATGATGCACACTAAGCACCATTCTATCGAGCTTTATAATCATTTTATGCACAACTAGTATGTGGTATTGATAGTAATAAGGTATATTTACCCGTCATCCTACATCATATTATGAACAGGTTTGTTTAGGTAGATAAATGCTATACCTATTTTGTTCGGTCTAACAGTAATCGGTGTTTCACTCAGCACTTGACAAGTCTTGAGTGAAATCGATATACAACTCCAAAGAAGTGTTATAACTGAAAAATCCTTTATTTATAGGCATCATTACCAAAGTTTGACTTGATAATTTCGAATAATTTGAGCATTGGATAGATTATTATAAATAAATTATTTGTAATATCCCAATGGGCAGAAAAATTAGATTTTTTGAGGTTTCGTGACTTAATGCAAGCCACCTCTTCCGAGAATAAATATTACAAATCCTTTATTTATTTATGAACGCGTGATCGATCGCTTAGACGGATATATGAATGTAAAGTGACTGATTGAAGCTTACACATGAGATCCTAAATTGTTAACATAACCCCGTAAATAAACAAACAAACAGTAAAAGAACAAAACAACTGGTCAGTAAATTGTTTTTGTTATTACCATTTTTCCTTTAGCAAAACGCGATAGAATTAATTTCGAAATATTTAATACAACAATAAACATGGTTTACAAACCTGCGTGATTTCAAGAGGCACAATTCTTTTGGGTCGCTTACTAGCTAATTAAATTTTAGATTTAACTGACCAAGCGTGCTTCCTTACCTCTAACTATTATCAGTAACGTAAGGTAAACGTGTTCTATTCTTTTTTGTTTTTGGTTGATCGACTGAATCTAACTGTATAATGAGCATCACGAACTAGCCTTAGTTATATAACCGTTGAAAATAAAAAAAGGCAACTGAACATTTGCTTGGTCCTTGTATGCGTCGCTTTTCCAGTATGGATCCACTACCCCAAGGAGTATTTAAGTCAGGACCTTCAGCTGGTCTCTTTGGAAGCTCTAAACTTTTGAACTGCCCAGCCAGTATCTAATGAACCTAATCAATCCGCTTATATTTAAATGCTTACTTTATTTGTTTTATTCTTATTTTAGGTGGAGTATTGTTCTCTGAGCTGGATGATTTGTTTGTGAGGCTTTCACTGTTCTCCTGAACATCATCAGCACAAACTTCAGGTAGAAGTGAATCGTTCGGATTTCTCCACGTATAACTTCGCTTGTCTTGTCGATCTCGATTTTGAATAGTTATCGTTGACCTTTAACCTGTCATTGTCTACTTTATTCTGGTTGTATCAACCTTTGACTTGATTCTTGGTCCTGTATTTGTCCATGATTTTCCTGATTGGTTGATAGGTTGGATTGATTTCAATGTTTGTCGATTGGTGATTAACCTGAGTGCCAAGATTTTAAAAATTCCCAGCTGTTCTTAGCATTCCCTCTTTGAAGATTTCAAGATTTTTCCAGATGGACGTGTGTTCTCAGTTGTCTATATGCTGTGTCACGGCGTTTGGTCGCTAATTGATGTTCGTGCAGGTGAATATGAAGGGGGTGTCCACTTTGTCCAATGTAGTGTCTTTCAAAATTGGAGCAGTTTACTTTGTAGATGATGTTCGATTTTTCTTCTTTTGTCATTTTGTCCTTTGATTTGCGTGGAATTGATTAATATGGTTTTGCTAGTTTTTGCGCTGCACTTATTTTAAACGGCTTCACCAATCTCGTTGTAGTTTCTGATATGTCTTTTATATATAACAGGATGATCCATTTGTTGGTTTCTGTACTTGATTTCGCCTCCTCCAAAAAGATGGCTATACACGCAACTTCATCGAAAAATATCAGCTCAACTCGTCAAAAGAAATGAAATCAAGTTCGGAAACCAACAAAGAGATTAGCAATCGACAAACATTGAAATCAATCCAACCTATCAACCAATCAGGAAAATCATGGACAAATACAGGACCAAGAATCAAGTCAAAGGTTGATACAACCAGAATAAAGTAGACAATGACAGGTTAAAGGTCAACGATAACTATTCAAAATCGAGATCGACAAGACAAGCGAAGTTATACGTGGAGAAATCCGAACGATTCACTTCTACCTGAAGTTTGTGCTGATGATGTTCAGGAGAACAGTGAAAGCCTCACAAACAAATCATCCAGCTCAGAGAACAATACTCCACCTAAACCATCCAACTGAGCTACAAATCTTTGCCATTATTTCATTATACACTATGATTTTACCTTAATTTAGTCTAAATTATTAAGCCTGCTTTGGAATTATCATTGTCATTTTCATTTTTTTCTTAAATATCATAACAATATTAATCAGTGATTTTTTTCGCAAACTATTTACTATATTTTTCTAGTGCTTATTTCTGGTTTATTATGGTAATTAGTGGAATATTTGGATTTGCTATTGGTTACATCAGTACACTACAAATTCAAGTGACCAGTCCATTAACTCATAATGTTTCTGGTACTGCTAAGGCAGCTGCACAGACAGTACTAGCTGTGATAATTTATCACGAAATCAAATCAATTTCATGGTGGCTTAGTAATATTGTTGTTTTAGGCGGATCAGCAGTTTATGCAGCTGTTCGACATATAGAACATGAACAAAAATCTAAAGGATCAATGAATTTTAATCGAAATGATAATTATTTTACTAGTGTGGTTGTTGTTGGTAGTGATGATAAAGATGTTGATGATGCCAAACATGGTCTTCTCAATTTTGTGAATAATGACAATCGTAATGATGAAGATGATTTATATGATAAGAACCGTGTATTATCTTCATCTAAAGATTCATTAGTTTCATAATTTCTTGGTATTCTCTTGTATTTTGTCTTTTTTTTTGTAAAGGGATTACATTTTTTTGCTCTCTATGGGCTGCTTAATAACTTGATTTCACTGTGATATGAAATAAATGTTTAGATTCAGTAGAAGAATTGAAGATTTTCTGTCTTAACTTTTTCTCCGTATAATGGGTTTACTTTCGGAATCATATGAAATAATCAGTTGTTGAGAAAAAGAATACCTACTGGTTGCTACTACTGTATATAATCTACACTATCTATTCCAATATGACACAGAACCTAAGACCTGTATGTCATGTGGCTAGCGCACTATCATTTAATCGGTAATCGGGCTTATATACTTCACTTTTCCAAACTTAGTCTTGTGATTGATCACATCTATTATCTGGTGTCAGTAATGAACATCAGTTCCCAAATAATGACATAAGGAATTTATACTGCTCAATGGCTTCCGATGATCGTCGTTCAATTGAAAATATTTTTCTTCAGACTGTAAAATCTCAGTATACTCTGAATTCATAGCTGTTTAAAGTAACCTCACTGACTGTTAACCATTACAACAGGGGACTATAGGTCTGGCATTTTCATTATTTTCAGTCATTGAAATGATAATGCTTTTATTATGCATTGTATTTTATAAGATGTAGACTTAAAACAGAAAGCAATTCTTGATAAAGTTTTAAGTCTTTACAAATGACTTCAATGGATCCGTTGCTACTGTTCTTGTTAGTCCCTCATTTCTATAAGTCTTATGTCTGTTAGCTCTGAATCTTTTTGTTCACAAAATCTTCTCCAACTTTATCAATTCAGTTTACACACATTTAGATTTGCATATAAGTTGAGGTCATTGGATAACGAGAGTTCACAAACTACACATTAATAGCCTCTCTGTGTTATCAAATTATTTTTAACGTCACAATAATAATTATAATTAGAAACTATAATAGGATTGTCATTTATAGCATGATCCTTAAAATATATTAATAGCTCGTCGCATATGGTGTGCTAGTTATTTGAAGAATGTGTATCATTTGTTGCCGATAGGGTTCATTTTTTATACCTACTATTGATTTTACAACATCAAAAATGTCAGAGCTAACTTATAATTTATCTTGACAATGTGGAACGGATACGCTACTGTGAACATTTATGTTATGTATAGTAAATACATAAACTTGGATACTGACTGCTGGCTCTGTTGTTGTTTCAGTAAATATGTGAATATTGATGACACTGGTATTTAAACAGGTAACCTTATTGTAGATTGAGTTCATCATCATTTACTTAAACCAATAATGCTGATCTCTTTCATATTTACTTTGAATAAAAGATCGATATGAATTCACTCTATCTAGGTCAGTAGCTTTTATTGAAACATAATAGAAATAAATATTTACCAATACAATGGTTGCGTTATATTTATCGATGAGTCTTAAATTTGAAAGATTCAAGTGATTTCTACTGATCTGTTACTTTTTCAGTCAACAGTAACAGCCAATTGTATCGTATCATTCACTTAGTATTTAGTGACCAAAGTAATAAAAGTTTGAATAAGTATTTCACTATAGAAAATAGGATAAAACTGGGAAATAAAACCTGGTGAAATAACACTTTGAAAATTACGTAATAAGTGTGTAGGTGATCAGTTTAAATAAAGAAGTATGAAAGTGATGGTGAAAAATAAACTTAAAGGAAGTGTGAATAATTAGTAGGCTCGTCTACTAATTCTTATCTGGTGGAGGGGATAGGGGTGTTAAAACATTTTTTGCGACACAGTGACCAAGGTTGTAAGCCTAAATCTCTACAGCTCGGAATGGTTTATCTGTAATATGAAAACCGTCAAGCAAGCGTGATAAAAGAAGCTGCCTACTGACTGTTCGACCCTATCCAAACTACGTAGGGGGACGTTCACTTACTCGCTGGCCAGGCTGCCTAGTAGTACGCCCGATATAGCTTTCTCTATAGGATTAGCCGAATTGGTAAATATACATCAAAATCCCAAAACCAGGTAACTTATTATTTGTCTGAGCAAACATCACTAGTCGACTTGAAAATGATATACATAAACCTGTTTAACCATCCTAACTAGTATATTATGTTAGACATTGGTAGATATATCTGTCCATTTGCAGTTTTAGGAAGAACTTTGTTTCCTTGTACACATTCTTCAAAAAAACTTGAGTTGTCTATTTCAGTCAGCATATTACTGACGAACCCCAACTGCCTTATGGCGTTATATGACCAGATTTTTTTTCCTTTGCTTGTAAGACGTCTAACCAGGTTTTTTTGTAGTAAACAGATATGAAACTAAAGGGGTTTGTGTAGTGGGATAATGAACTTTTTACACACACTTATCGACTTAACTTGCCGTCTTTTTAATGACATGTTGAGCAAATGCAACTTAATATTACACTCGTTTACACAAGTGAATGTGATTGCCTAGTGTACACTGATTTTGGAGTTCTCTTTATTGATATTGTGATCGATGATGAATGCATCGTCAATATAAAGGCAGTATAAATCTAAATTTCCTATTACTTCCTTGAAGAGTTTGTTTTCTACTTTGACTAGAAAGAAGCTAAGACTGAGCCTAAATATGATGTCATAGCTATTACATCAATTTGCTGATAACAAATTTGGTCGGAGAAAGAATGGGATCCTTAGTGTACATTTCGAGAGTAATTCTTTACGAATATCCTCAGGAATTCCAACATTGAGTTTCTTTTTTGAGACCTATCTGCATATGAAATAAATTAATGGTACATTGGCAAATAAAAATGTGATATTTAGAGAGATTATGCTTCCTGATAAAGTTCATATCTTCCCCTTTTCAAACAAAACCCAGAACAACTTTAGAGCTTTTATTTTCGGCTGATTTGTGCTGAGGTTCGAACTTGCCACTGCAATTTTGTGATATGGAGAATTGTACATATCCAAAACGATGAAAAGGAAGTCCAAACTTGTGAAGTTTAGGTGGATCATAGGGTTTTAATGAGTTTGATGCAGGTTTAGGTGAATAATGGAAATCCGATAAACTTGTCCCCTGTCTTTTCAGTTCTCTAAGAAAACTGATCATTTCTCTGCGTCTCCCTTAACTTTTATTTCGTCACTATTTTTTTCCTTCGTAAGATCGCTAAGCATAAAATTAATTTTATCTGTGCATCCCGTTCATTTGTCTACCTGGTTTGCTTCTGATCTAGGTATCTTCTTTTCTCTTTAGCATTTTTAAGCAAGGTTGATCCAGTTTGGTTAGTATATATTTCGCAACATCCTTGCAAATTTTGCATAATAATAATAAGCGAACTCTAAGTATTTCTAACAATACACCTGATTTATACAGCCCTTTATATTTTCGGTATATAAAAATAATATTTTATACTTATTTAATTAATCTTAATTTACTGATTATATTTACCGGTATGGATGTTTATTGTTGGATTACGTTTCAGGAAAGACGACATAATGATAAATACAATGTGTAAATTGATTATTATCGATGTTAGAAGACATACTGCCTTATGTTTCATAGTAAATTTGTAGTAGTTCATGAAGTACGGATTATTTGTTAATCCACCAAATTATAGAATAAATGTTACATTTTCTCTTTCAAAACAAGGTACAACTTTTGGTGTTGTTTGAACACATGAAGATGCAAATTAATGCAATTAACAAGGGATTTACTGCTTTCCACGTCAAGTATAAATTAATTCTAACTGATAGAGAGCGTGGTCTGTCTTATAAATACGGAAACTGAATTACTAAAGTTGTTAGTGAAACTTCGGAAAACCAGAAAATCTATAAAATGTCAAGAGCTATTCATGAAGGTAATAGATTGGAAAAATGGCTTCTTTCAGATTAATCATAGGTATCGGTGAGGTCTATTAAGATTATAAAGATGATCAAGACCAGGATCACCGTCAACCTCTTAGCGGATAAAAAGATAGAACAAGTGTGATTTACTGTTTCTTCTGAAAGCCGATTCACTGTTTAAGTGATTTTTGATGGACTGGATTCAGGAAAATTGTCTGTTCATTTGATTTTGGCAAAACTTATGGAGCTGAGAAGTTTGAATTGATGAGATGGTTGACAAGCTTGACTTCTGACGACATCTAGGAATGTTTCTAACGATGGAAATGATGTATCCCAAATTTTGTGAAATAGCTTTAATGACCTGAATTCACATAATTATTGAACAGAATAGAATAGTTATGCTGTTGTTTAAAATGTAATCACTTTGAACCATGATATTAATCCTATTTACGTATGACGCATATCTAATTAAAAAGGATGGGAACGATTTCCTAGCAAACAAAGGAAAAGTCGCCCGAACGTCTGTTAGTTTTCTTCGCTATCATTAAGATTTTTAATTTTATTTTAAGTACCAATCCTGCAGTGTATGCTACTTATGTTGACAGATATAGCAGTATGTAGCACCAATCGAAAGTGGAATACCTGCGAGCAGAAGACTGAGAGGATTGAAATGAAGAGGAGAGAAAACTTAGAGAAATCAAAACAGCAACGGGAATAAAGGAACGACGAGGTTTGTAAGAGACAACTGGTGAAAGATGTGCAAATAATGTATTCAATGTATGGTTTTCATAGTGTACGAAGATATTATGTAATTTGTCATCAAACGAGAAATTGGTTATCCTAACCTGAGTTTTAGTTCACTACAATCCTACCAAAAAAAATTAAAAATGTAGCTAACAGTAATAACTATGTTGAAAAGTTATCAACCTGAATTGCCAAGTAGATTAATTTAGTGTATTCTTGTTTAACAGGATGAGTTTTGCGCACTGAAGTAATGACTGAAAGTGAAGAACCTGTGTCGAGATAGGGTTTTTTCAAATAAGCTGAGGATGACTTGTCCCATACTTGTTTCACTACTTTTGGGTATTCGATTTACAATACAAAATAGCAAAATATTTGACATGCATTTGTGTTGAATCAGTTGTGGAAGAATGTGTTAATTTGACTAAAAGATAAATCACAAATTATTTTTATCGGCATTTAACAACACACAGAAGTTTTCTAATCCACATTTATTCACGATTAATCGAAATAACACCGGTCTAACTGGCAGAAATATTACACAAATGTTAAAACAAAGTGTTATGTTACTGATATGC